CCGAGGCAGGGATAGCCGAGTGGTTAAGAGGTTAGACTCATGTCTGCACCTCTGAAAACCGCGAGTTCGATCCCTGCCGAGGTTCGAAACCATGCCCTGCAAAAATTGCAAAAATGGTTCTAGTACCAGCGTCAGGCCCAGGTTGACAGGCCGGCTGATGAATACCCCAGTCACACCAACATGTCTAAAAGTTGCCAAAGAATCAGTGATAAAGCTAGGACGTCACCCGGAAGTGGCGCGCAGAACCCCCGCCCGAGTTCTGTGGTCAGTATGCGAGGGCTACCGAGGAGGAACGGCCTCGGCCAAAGAAGCTAGTTCGAATTGGAACTCTGAACGTAGGGATCGCTAACTGGAAGTCCCGAGAGGTTGCTGATCTGATGACGCGCAGAAAAATTCAAGTCCTATGCCTTCAGGAGACGCGATGGAAAGGGCCAAGGCCAGGGAAATCGGAGAAGGTGTCAAACTCTACTACAATGGGGAAGACACCAAGCGGAATGGTGTGGCCATAGCGGTAGCGGAGTCGCTCAAGGACTATGTCTCCGCTGTGAACAGGATCAGCGATCGGATCATGGCTGTAAGGATAGACACGAAGGAGGGGTACTGGTCAATACTATCAGTGTACGCTCCGCAGACCGGATGCCCCGAGAGTGAGAAGGACGAGTTCTACCTAAGGCTTGACGAAGCCATCAGATCGATCCCGGAAAGCGATTACTTGACCATAGCAGGTGATCTGAATGGGCACGTCGGCAGCGACAGAAGAGGTCATGAAAGGGTGCACGGAGGTAGAGGAATAGGAGTGAGGAACGCCGAGGGAGAGAGGGTCCTGGACCTGGCTACTGCCCACGATCTGGCAATCTGCAGCACGTTCTTCGCGAAAAGGGAGACTCAGAAGGTCACCTACAGCAGTGGAGGGAGACAGACGGAAATCGACCATGTACTGGTAAGAAGATCATCCCTCAAAACTGTGAAGGATATCAAGGTAATTCCTGGCGAAGAACTGGCTCCTCAGCACAGGCCCCTCCTGGCAGACATAGCCATAGACCTTCCCAAGAAGACAAGGGTAAGAACGAGGGAATTCGGTGGTGGAAGTTGCACCGAGCAGAGAAGAGCGACCTCAAACGAAACAGGAATAATGGAATGATTGTCTCACCAATCGAGGACCAGTGCAGCACACTTGGGGCAGTGCAGCTGAGATCATCCTACGATGCGCCAAGGAGGTACTGGGCGAGACGCGAGGTGGATTCAGAGGAGACAAGGCAGCGTGGTTCTGGAACGAGGAGGTCCAGCGAGTCGTGAAGCAGAAGAAGGAAGCATACAAGCGCTGGCAGAAGACCCGGAGCCCAGAGGACCTCGCTGCCTACAAGAGTTGCAAGAGGCTCGCTAAGGCAGCCGTCGCCAAGGCGAAGAACACGGAAATGGACGCCTTGTACGAGAAGTTAGAAAAGCCAAAACGCAGAAAAGTTCGCTCTTCAAGACTGGCCTAATACGTCAGTGCATCGGGCTATATACCAAGACATTAGATGGTCTGAAGAGCGTGAAGATCATAGGTGCCATCCTGAGGAAGCAGCTGAAGTGAAGAGAAAGGGAGAGTACTACAAAGCGCTCCTAAACGAGGAGTTTCCCTCACGAAGACAGCTCGCAAGCAGAGGCGACGGCTGGCCCTATCTCACTATGGACAGAGGATGAGGTTCGTCAAGAACTAAGGAAGATGAAGGTTGGAAAGGCGGTGGGTCCAGATAAGTGCCAGTCGAGGCATGGAAGCTTCATAATTGCGCTTGGAGAGTTCGGGATCAGATTGGCTACCAATTCCTGAACACGGTAACACCGAAGGAAGGATGCCGGATGCCTGGAGAACAAGCACTATCGTCCCCATCTTCAAGCAGAAGGGTGACGCGATGGACTGCTCCAAACTACCGCGGATCAAGTTGACTGCTCATACAATGAAGCTGTACGAGCGACTGGTCGACTCGAAACTGCGGGAGCTGGTCCCGATCTCCTCAGGAACAGTTCGGGTTCATGCCGAAAGGTCTACTACGGATGCCATCTTCATCGCGAGGCAAGTGATGGAAAAGTACCGAGAAAAGCGCCGACCCTGCTACCTAGCCTTCCTCGACCTGGAGAAGGCGTTCGACCGACTACCTCGAACAGTACTATGGAGAGCGCTCAGGGAGCGGAATGTGCCAGAACACCTGATCTCTCTGGTGAAGGACATGTACGATGGGGCGAAGGCAGCTATACGCACCCCACACGGCCTAACGAAGGAAGTGGACATCACGGTTGGGGTGCACCAAGGGTCAGCTCTGAGCCCGTTCCTCTTCCTCCTAACGCTCGATACCATGGTGAAGGGCCTCATGGAAGGACCACTGAAGACCATCCTCTACGCTGACGACATAGCTCTGATAGCGGATAGCAGAGAGGAACTTCAAGCCAAGGTGCAGAAATGGCAGAACGTCCTGGCAGAAGGTGGGCTCCGGCTGAATGTCAAGAAGACCAAGTTCCTGAGCTCCGAAGAGGGTACAGAGCCGATCGTGGACGGCCATGGTGAGACCATCCAGAGAGTGGAGGACTTCAGGATACCTCGGGAGCGACCTGGCAGCCGACGGAAGTGTGGATCAGGCAGTGAAGGCACGAGTCAACGCTGCATGGATGAAATGGAGGGAGTCCACTGGAATCCTCTGCGATCGAAGGTGCTCCAGAACACTGAAAGGAAAGGTGTATCGGGCAGTGGTGAGGCCTGCGATGCTATACGGCAGCGAGTGCTGGCCCCTGAACAAGAATCACGAAAGGCAGCTGCACTCCGCTGAGATGAGGATGCTGAGGTGGGCCTGCGGCTGGACGCGACTGGACAGGGTCAGGAACGAGGAGGTCAGAGCGGTCATGCACTGTCCAGTCCAGCTGAAGGTACGGAAACAGCGTCTGCGATGGTATGGGCACGTGCTAAGGAGGCCACAGGACCACCCAATAAGGAAAGCAATGGACTTCGAAGCGCAAGGCAAGCGACCGCGAGGTGCCCCAAAGAAGAGGTGGAAGGACGTAATCAAGAAGGACCTGAGTGAAATCACGGCCACAGCAGAAGATGCCCTAGACAGAGCGAAGTGGCGACGACTGATAAAGACAGCGGACCCTGCGACTGCGCGGGACTAACGCTAGGGAGAAGAAGATAGAGAGGGTTTTTGGCCGCAGTTACGCCTTGCAATGTTTCAACACAAGATGCTGGTATTGCGTTCCCACGGTTTCGTCCAGCATGACGAGAATTGCATTACTCAACAGGATAACCCGTGACGTTTCGCATTATCGCAATTTACGGACACGCTCATTATTTTTAGGGGAGCCTCATGAGACCCTGACAGGTCTCCCCCATACGAACAACCCTTCTCCCTACCCCCCCCCCCCCCCCCCAACCCCGCTAGAATGACTGTTTCTATAGTATTCGATTTTTAGAGCACTCGACACAGCCCAATTCCGCACACTTTCGCTTTGAAAAGGCGTCGAGTGGGGGCGGGGGAGTACGGTGCAATGAAAGGCTATTTTCTATTCTCCCCACACTAATTTATAATCCAATCTACTAAATGCGACAACCCTTACCAAAATCAACTACAAGTTCGACCACCGTTAGAATGTGGAACGCACGGTTCATTTGAATTAGCAACCCTGATTTTTGTGAAACAATCAAGCTATTATATTTCGACACAGCCCATTTTTCAGTTCCGATGTTTTTTCACATTCCGAGCGAGAATAGAGTGTGTGAAACATAGTAAGGGAGGTTATACTATTCGAGTTCTTTCTTTCAATTCAAAAACGTATCCACTTTATTGAACGAACGCGACCAAGTCTTGGCTACTCTATAAAGATAGGTTTTCTGATCACAGTTTGTCTATTCGATAGAATGCATTTCGTTTTTTTTATTTGTGCATTGTTTCTAATGCTTTTGATTATTATTTGTTTCAACAATGTGCTAAGTATGAGCAATTGAATTGATGATTAAGTTCACTCGCCTTCATTGATTGAGGCAGTCGTGTGAAGCGAGTGAAATTGCATTGTTGTACGACTTTTTCAGCCACTGAAACCCGAGAATTCGGTCGGGCAGAGTGCCGCCGGTTCTAAAAGGAACAAAAGAAACTTCTGAAGAAAACTACACAACAAGAGGGAAATGCAGACATTTCTTACTTGAGTGTCTCTCTATGAAGATCGTTCATGTTACAGCGAGCTGGGCCTTCAGCGAGAGCACTGGCCAACTCTCGCAGTCCCATTCGAGCAGCTACTACCACTTTGCCATCCATTCCGTTCACATTTATACCTACTACAAATTTTTGCGAATTTTTATAATTCCGTTGCAGTTTTACGAATTTGGGTGGAGTAGTCGTATAAATATGAATAGGGCAGCGAACTGGATTCCTCGATCAGCACAGCGAAGTCAATGGTGACGTTGTGACCGATTTCTATGCTTTTCCCTCACACCTCCCTCAGCCCGTCCTCTACCACATCACCACATGTGAGATAGCTCGTGACACGAATGCTGCACCCCCTCCCCCACCCCCCTCCACAACCTCCGATCACCAACTCGCTATCATAGCTAGTCTATCATGGCCAATTCTAGCGTGTTAAATTCTGAGAAAAATCAACACGCTCCAACTCCACTCACTTTTTTCTTTTCTTCCTTTTTCTCTTTTTTTCCTTTTTCTCTTTTTTTTTCGTTTTTTTTCTCTAATTTCCAAAAAAAAAACGATCCCCTTTTGACGTTTTGCCTTTCGTGAACCCCAAACCGAACCCGACCCGGAATCACTAATAGGGCCCCCTTCTGAATCAGCTGGACGGATGGTTGACCCAGAGCCAAGGTCGAGTGAGTAGCTTCACGATCCTTCAGTAGCAATGTGCGAATCTTGAAGCTGCTTGACTAGATCTATGGTAGCACTTCTGCGTAAAATTAACTACATTATGGGAGTGTACGTCCAAAACATCTATTTTACGAGACAAATTCAAAATTTTCTACAGCTTGCTGGGTGCATCTCTTTTACTTGAAATTTCAGTGATACTGGAAAAAGCACGTTTCATCCGAAAGCAGAAAAAGAAAAGTGAAAAGAGGAAAGAAAACGGGTGAAGAAAAAAACATCGTTCAAAAATACTTCGTCTAAACCCAAGCGAGTTTGAATAGATTCGGCTTAGGCGGTGTCGGTTTCGGGGGGAGGGAGAAACCAAGGTCCCCTAGCACGCACTCTCCCTCATGTAAAGCCTAGTAAATGAACTTCAAAAGTCTGACCATACTACCCATATATGTTTCATACTCTACGGAGATGTCTGAAGCGTGGCACATCGTCAGGAAATGGTGAAATGCCTAGCGTTTTATTCAAAAGAAAGCAGATGCATGGAGGCCCACACCAACAACTCACTGGAATCGAGATTGGGCTCCTTTGAAAGCTTTACGATCTCCTTGTAACCAATACCGCTCTCGATCAGAGCATCCACTCCGCCGAAACTGCTATCAGCGGCGGGTTCGTACTTAAAAAAGCGTTGTTTCCTTCACGTCCTCCTGTAAATGCGGTGTTGTGGATTACTTATCCTAACAAGATCATAAAATTACAGTCGGACCTCGAGTCATTTCCACGGCTCTAGTGGCCCGGCCGAGCATGTAGAAATTTGACTGGCCGGTGCTTTTCTAAAACGACAGGTTCGATCTACCGGTTCAGTATTTGCACTTCAGTATGTCTCACCCTCTCCAGAAGGTTGGGTTCCTTCCTCGGGACTTTTCCCGGATTGAGTTGAGATTTCAGCCTGAAGTACTCTTGTCGAATAGTATCATTTTTGCTCAAAATCGCCACCGAATCAGCCGTACGTGAGTCCGCGTGGGAGAAGCATGTTCGACACGCGTTCAGGTCAATATTCCTGAAAAATACAGCCCATAAAGTTTGCCCAAGTATGGTAAAATGGTCTTAGCCTTAAAAGGAATCTTGCGCGGAAAAATCATGATTCTATTTCAGCCATAAATCACTGGCTTGAGACTCATTATCCACGATAATAGTGAAAAGAACTGAAGTATTGCTTTCGTTTTGATTAGAAATTCGAAAACTCGAAAAGGCTGCTACGCGTTCGAATTGCCCACGGACGTCTTTCACGAATGCTGGCGACGGGGATGCTCAAACTTGGTTCTTGGAGTGCATTCACTAGAAGCTCTTTCTGGCCTTCTGCTTCGTTGCATTCACATCTTACACTTCTACTCCATCCTATTCCATCGATCGATTTGTCTCCACTCTCCGAAATCGCGCGCTTTAACCCGATTCTCTCATTGCGTCGCCTGGTACGTAGCCGGCCAAACGCCGTCTTCTTTCCATGCCTCGCCTGGCTCTGCCTCCTGGTCCTTCGATGGTCCATAACGTGTAGTTTTTGTACGTTTGTTTCTCTTCAGAAACCGAATCTTCATGCGTGAAACTTTGTGTGCTATTTCCAGTGATCACAACTGACATATTCATGTTAGGAAAGAGTGCAAGAATTTTCCGCGCAAGATTCCTTTAATGCAGGAACCTATTCCGGAGGCAGGGATGGCCAGTGGTTAAGAGGTTAGACTCATGTCTGCACCTCTGAAAAACCGCGAGTTCGATCCCTGCCGAGGCTGTAAACCATGCCTTGCAAAAATTGCAAAAATGGTTCTAGTACCAGCGTCAGGCCCAGGTTGACAGGCCGGCTGATGAAGACCCCAGTCACACAAATATGGCTAAAATCGAAAAAGGAACCAGTGATAAAGCTAGGACCCTTTTCCATGTAGTAGGAATTGATTGGTCACATATAAAAAACAGCTGCAAAAAAGAATCAGACCCCCTCCCTCTCCTGCTCCCAGCACTTCCCCCGTCAGTGAGCCTGGACCAATCAAGTGAAAAAATATTGTGAAAATTGAAAGCAGACCTGCTGCCGGAGTTCATGAGCCTCTTGAGCTCCTTCGAGTCACCTCTGATGATTGCTCTGATAAGGAGTCGAGAATTAGTGATAAAGCTCGCATATTCAGGAGATTTCGGTGAGATGAAAAACGGATTTTCCTGAAGAAAATGGTTTGATGTACAAGGGAAAAGCATAAATAATCAACGCGATTACTCTGCTTAGCTTGATTCCTGGTCGAGAACTAAGCCGCTCGTTGCCTTTTTTATTCCCCGACGATGAACTGACAACTTCCTGAAATGACTTCTGTTAACTTTAGGTATCATCATGCAATTTAATCACAACCAGAAAAGGTTGAAAAAATTATGAAGACGCAAATATGAAATTGCAAATATAAAGTATGAAAAGGTAACAAAAAGGAGAATGAAAATCCTCATATGAAACGTATCCGAAGCAAAAACTAAGTAAATATGTAAACTCAGCATCAATATTAACATATGAATGAAAATATGAAATCGCGATCCAGTTAGGACTTTGAGGAGAGCCTGATAATCAATGAAGAAACCTCATGAACTTCTGTACATCATTTGAAATTACAAGAAACTGATAAGGATAGTTATTCCTGTTACTGGGTATTACTCATAAAAAAACTTAAATAATAAACAATATAAATAAAGAAATAAATATAAAAATGTAAGGATTTGAAAAATATTAAGAACTGAATTATATTTTTAACTTCTACATAACTGTAATACTCCATATTTTCATTTATAATTACCCCCTAAAGCACGAAAACCGTTCTAAAGAAAAATTCAACGTGTATAAATAAACCATTGCAGAAATAAAGAATAATAAAGTATTTAAATAAAAATAACTGAACACTAATGAAAAAACCTCCCAAATCAAAAATCAAAAGTGTGAGAATGAAAAAAGTGTTCAAGATTTCGAATTTCAGTGGCCAAGAACCTAAAAAATACCTTCTTCTTTTGCTTGATCTTTTCTGTCTTTGCTTTGATGGCCTTCTTCGAAATCACTTTCCTGCCCTTTTTCTCGACTGCCACTTCCTCTTTCTTGATTTTGCGTTTTTTGCTTTTCCCTCCTTTTGGAGTGCTCTTTGTGATGAACTCAGGCCGTGTGCAGAATTGTCGGCTTTCTGATTCGTCGTCGAATGGCGCGGTGCATTTGTTGTGACCACTGGAGGAGCTAAAATGGATAGAATCAATAGAAGTAAACAACAACACACATATTTTTAACAAATTGTTGTTTTTGAACGCTGGCTGCCGCTCTTGGCAGCATTTCGCCATGCGAAAAATATGTGCACTCTTCAACCCAAACCGCCCCCTCACCTCTCGTCTTCCGGGCAGTAATTCTACCGACTACACCCCCAAAGCACCTATTCACTTTAGCTCAACGTTTCGATGGTATATCCACCATAGGTTATCACCACTCAAACCTGTAAAGGATGAACTGGTAGTAAGCAGAAGCAGTAGCAGTGAAGACGATTGCTGAGTTGCAGCAGATGCTACAATTTCTCTGCAGCAGTTTGTTTCAAGAATGCTCGGTCACTGGCAAAACTCTATGGCAGATATACCGTCAAAACTGCGCTATGGAAAAACGGTAACTTCGTATAATGTATGCTAACTGCCAGAAAGCAAAAGGTGCGAGTGTTCGACCTCAACCACAGCGAAGGGTTTCACCTCACCAGCAGTGGTGGGCAAAGTAGGCGCAGAGCTTACAAGATCCTGCTGCTTTGCTGCATGGGATCCGAATAAGGAAAATTCTCTTCGTGTCTCGAGAGGCTGAAACTGAACCGCAGGTTCAGCAACTAACAATATGGTCAGGTTCCTTGCTGTCCTTTTTTTTGGAACCCTCTTAGACCCAACAGGGCTGCAACCAACGTATTTGAAATAATCGGAATTCGAATGGACTTGCAAGCGCACAAAAACCTGCTGACAAATCTATTAAGTAGTTGCCATTTGAATAATGATCCTGAAAGAGGTTGCGTGGAACAATCTATTCTGTGGTAAGACGAAGTACGAACAAGCATTGCATATGTGCCGCATTGGCCACTCGAAATATTGCGCGGCAAAGGCGAGAGCCTTAGAAAGTGAATTTATTTCGACTTATGGACGAGATGACGCACTCCCTTACCACCCGGGTTGTGGCGTAGCGGCTAATTGGGAAAAGCAAATACGCGCGGGTGGTAGGGCCATCGAGCGAGTATAGTTTGCACAGCTGGTCCTAGCCCCGCCCCTACCCTTATAAGGAAAGAGATGAGACATAACTCTAGGCTTCATCGACGGTTTTTCTTTGCTTCTTTTTCCAATTTCTGTCAACCATCGCCCATCCACTAACTCCATTTATCGGACTGCAGCGATCAGTTTATTTAAATAATGAGGCGTTGCACTTGGGTAGGCGTTCAACATCTGACACCACACCATAATGAAGTATAGCCTTCAAAGCAAATGAGGGAAGAAGAAACGATTATAGAAAGCATTTTTTCTTTTTCTCCGCATCAGTTTGAAACTGCTTCCAACCACTGCGACCTCTGCATGAGATTGTGGAAAAATGAAGTACTTGCGCCCATTCAAAGAAACCGCTTAAGCTTGTTTGAATAAGCCTATACTTATGTTCCCACAGAGCTATTCGAGCATTTCCGTAGCGCAATGAAGATGCAGGGGGGGGGGAGGGCAGATATCGAAATTCTCTGCCCGTTCATAAAGGTTAATCAAAATAGAAAACAGAACAATGTTTCCGCCAGCAAAATAACCAGAGGAATTTCTTCACTCCGCGCTGGTCAGTCGCACAACAAGTTTGTACTCTCGCCATTTCAGGTTCTTGCACGCGGTTCGCAGGCGAGTATTTGCTCGTATTTCCAGAAAGTGCATACAAGTGGATGCCTGCATCGCTGCTATTTACGAAGAATGGCGAGAAGATTTCGAAGAAAAACTCTCAGTACTAATTGCGATCACAACAAGCGCAAGAGCAGAGAATAATAATCTCCCAATCTCCCATAGAGCGCCCTTTTCGAGTTACCAGTTAACCCATAACGGACGGCGTGCGCCACAAGGTGGCGCACGACTATTTCTTTTGTTTTTGGAATGTTTCTAGCAATCTTAATATACCCATATATACTCTCAGCAATGTGGAATAACATATCTTCCCAGGACCTGGACGGCTGGATTTTTGACAAACCTACAATAAATTTTGTTTTAATTTACATAAGTTTATTATTTGATGGGTGGCTTACCCATGGTTCGCACGTCCCGAGACCCCTTCCCCTAAATATAGCCACATCCTTGCTCGGGGTTGTTGTTTCGCATTTTTCGATAATGTCACCTACAGCTTCCATTCATTCTTTGCACCCTAGTTTTAGAGCGGAAAGGCGGGCTACGAACTTGTCGTCAACGGAAATCTCTTTTTTCGGATGATGAGACTCCGACACCTACTTTAGCCCCGTCTTACCCCTGCTGTTCACATAAGCCTACATAAACCCTACCCTGGGTGGCGGCGTGCGCCACATGGTGGCGCACGCAACAAATACACTGCCGTCCGTTAATGGTGTTAAAGGCATTCGAGTGTGAGACTCAAATCTCCACCTTCTCGTGGTCCTCCAACACGGCCGTGACAGGGACGGGCTTCTTAACCCATAACGGACGGCCAGTGTATTTTTCGCGTGCGCCGCCACCCAGGGTAGGGTTTATGTAGGCTTATGTGAACAGCAGGGGTAAGACGGGGCTAAAGTAGGTGTCGGAGTCTCATCATCCAAAAAAAGAGATTTCCGTTGACGACAAGTTCGTAGCCCGCCTTTCCGCTCTAAAACTAGGGTGCAAAGAATGAATGGAAGCTGTAGGTGACATTATCGAAAAATGCGAAACAACAACCCCGAGCAAGGATGTGGCTATATTTAGGGGAAGGGGTCTCGGGACGTGCGAACCATGGGTAAGCCACCCATCAAATAGTAAACTTATGTAAATTAAGACAAAATGTATGTAAAATTTATTGTAGGTTTGTCAAAAATCCAGCCGTCCAGGTCCTGGGAAGATATGTTATTCCACATTGCTGAGAGTATATATGGGTATATTAAGATTGCTAGAAACATTCCAAAAACAAAAGAAATAGTCGTGCGCCACCTTGTGGCGCACGCCGTCCGTTATGGGTTAAATGAGGTACTCACTGCAGCCGCTCAGAGGATCACATTATGTTTGGACCGCGCCACTATAGTGTGTGTTTTTCCCGTGTGCACCTTCCGTAATACTCGAGAACATCCCTCCAATCTTGCGCAACTTCCTATTCCCTATTCATGGTGGTTCATTTAGCAAGCTACTATGAGATATACATCGTTCACAGAAGGGTTTTAAGGCATACCTCACGATCATTAGTCGTCACAATATTGGGCGAATACACGGAAACCATAACTGGTTGCAAGACAGCCCTAGGGGCAAGGAAAGGTAGAGATTGGCAATGTCTGAGGTAGGCCAAGAATGTTTGAAACGAGCCCAGGCCTAGGATAGGTGGAGCATGCTTTCAGCAGAGTTGTGCTCACTACAATCGAAACCCTTATAAAACTCTCTAGAATGATATTGCCAATATTATTATCTGCTTAAAAAATATTCAGGTTCAAAGCAACAATCTCGGATCGAATTGGTGGGATGAAAGTGGTAGATA